GTGAAGGTAGTGATCCATAGAGGAATCCGTTTTAGCCTCATGTTGTGAACGAGCCTTTCGTGGGATACGTTATCAAAAGCTCCAGAGATGTCTAGACTAAGGACGAATGCCACCTTTTCTTATCATTTTCCCAGACGTCGTAGATCTATCCGGTCAAAAGCTCAGCTGCTGAGATCGTGGATCTATTGGGACGCGCCCCCATCTATTCTTCTGGAAGAAGATTGTGCGTTTCGGCGGCGCTTGAGATCCGATTGACGACTACTCTTTCAAAGATTTTTCCAATAGTGTTTAAGAGGGCTATCGGTCGGTAAGCCTTTGGAGTGTTGTATGCTAATTTCTGTGGCTTTCTAAGTACAATTGCTAAAGACTGCTTGGAGCCTATTGGGTGATATTTATTAGAGAGGCAGACGTTGAATAGGTCCGTGAAAACCCTAGATAGAGTTTTCCTGCAATTTTATAAACATCCAGTTTTGGATTCTATCTGGGGTTGGTCAAACATAATTATTCTTGCACCTAAACATAATGGAGTTTTGGTTGTAATTATTGTTTACTCAGGAGCACGATAGGTAAGGCGTTTTGAGATGTTATATGCCCTCTATTAGTAGTTCCATATTAGCGTGTAGTGAGAGCTAGGTCGTAGCATTAGGAAAGAGTGCTGAAAAGGAGTCACAATACAGGTCCCGTATTTTAAACCCAATACTTTACCAAATCTACTTCCAGTAGTCCTGTATCAGTTGTCTGAAAGAATCATATTCTAATAGTTTGGATAGTTTTTCCCGCGCATTTGGTTTTCAATGTTAGCTTTTTTTCATTTTTGGAGAGTAGGAGATCCTGGGAAAATGTTGCTGATTTCTAAAGGTAAATATTGAGTCATGTAAATATCAACCAAGGGCACAATATCAGATATTGTTCCACTTTAAAAGTCGACAGGAGCGCTGGACAAGTAGTGGTCTGTGTTAGAGAGGAGGCTGATGTGTTAGATAGTGATTAACTCAAGTATCATTAAAAAACTGCTTTTGTATCCCCGTAAACTTCCATTCCAAGACATAAAGCCTGTGAGTACGACCGACCCAGAACATATGCAAGGGAGGAAAGAAAATAGAAGGTCTATGGTAGAGGACAACTCAAACGATGTGGCGGAAACTATGCAGGGAATTGAGATGGATGATATGATCAATTACGACTTGCTGTAGCATTTGAGTTTTGATAAAATTTGAGATTGCAAATAAAAAATAAATGTAGATCCCGCACCAAGTTTGAAAATAAGATCCGTGTCCCTTATGACAGCCTTGCCCTAGAAGTACAACTAGATAACGCTCGCAAAGGGTTTCATAACAGGTTGACTTCTATTTAGATAAGCATTAGATCTTGTTGAGGCCTGCGTCGACCTGAATAAAATCAAATCCTGACACAAACAAGTGTTTAATTAGACGGAGTACGTTTAAGACCGTGCGCGTTCAAGAGGATATGACAGTTGTTCCCTTGCGTTCCATGGTTTGAAGTGCTCACTTCGATGAGGGTTCCCAATCGCTTAAGCTGTCTGCATCGTCTTCATTTCTCAACACATTCCCCTAACACCATTATCATGAGACTAACCACAATCAGATCAGATGGTATGGTCGGAGCCCTACTCGTCACTAACCCTTGATCATGGAGGAGATGCCATTCAATGAGTTTCCGGAGCGTACCCAGCACCCGATACGGAGATGGCGGATTGGATCAAGTCGGTCTCTAGTGTTATAAAGAAGTGGGATGTAGATGAATATGCGCACCTCATGTGGTCTCGGTGCCTAGGTCTCCCCTGGCTGGGGCTGCATGTTTTTTGAGCCTTTTCTCGCAAATGCAGTTTCCATTGCTACCTTTTTCTTTCTTTCTTTCTTTTTTAGGTAGAAGGTTCCGTGGAAAAGGTGGCCGAATTCCACAGGTAAATATTAAGCTAAATGGCTGTTCATCAAGGGCAAAATATCAATTACCTTACAAGGAACAAAATAGGATAGAAGCACTGTACAAGGTGTGGCCTGTGTCAGAGAGAAGCCTAATGTGCTAGATAATATATGACTCAAGTAGTACAATAAATATCACTCACTAATTCATTCCACGGATTTAAGATGGTTGACCGTGGTTGGAACTTCAATGATAGCCGGAGATATACGCCAGCTTCACCATGTAGAGCTGCATCTGTTTTAGCGCCATCATACCTATTGCTAGCTGCATAACTGAAGACGACTGTGCAGCAACAGGTCATTGCCGCCCATCCAGCTCCAAATAGTTGTGAATGCGTGTCAGAGAAGATTATTGGGACTAGGGATCTGGTTCATTTGCAGGTCTGATGATGTGAGCCGATATTGCAGGGTCAGGGTTAGTGATCTGGGAGATCGAGGAAGCGTAGGAATGGGCATCGTGATCGATCGGTGCGTGCCAGGCAAATTTTGAACAGTCAGTGGGGAGCGGCGCGACTAGCAATCCCCTGTTATCAGGCTTACTCCTTGACCGACTCGTGGCGGACGGAGAAAAAAATAATTGCCCCAGAGCTCGTAGACTAGGCAGGACTGGTAATTCGGATGCATGCTGGTTCGATACGTCATGCAGCCATGAGGCCGGCGCCACCATCCGAACCCTCTACGTGCCTTCGCCGAGTGCCGGTATCTTCTTCCTCGGATTAAGTCTGGTATGCAGAGGCCCACTCTCTCGGATGGAGGAAACTGCACCTCTAACGGTTGACCCGGCGTCGTGGAAGACAACTATGCGGTCCGCTCAAGGTTTGCGACGTCGTTGTAAGCCTCATGGCAGGGAGTGTAATCCTATCGCTTGAATTTTCCCGATGGAGCCTGTGCGTCTCCTAGATTGCGCTGTGGACAAAAGTGCAGAGGATGCTGGATAAAGTAACCAAGTGCCGTCTGGCAGCCTGAATTCTCACCGGATTAAGTTGAGTAGGAAAGTCGGTAACCTATTGCTCTACAGGGAGTGTGTGGACCAATAGCAGATAGAGACTGAAGTCATCTCTTGAGGTACCTGCATTCTATACCGATACAACGGGCGGAGAAATTCAAGACCAGTTGCTTCTCTATCATCAGCCTCGACCAATCCTGTCGATCAATCACATACAAGCATTTACCTTGATCCCAGGGCTGTATTGATCAAGCGTGAACTCTACAGTGCTTAACAATTTCAGCCTATCTAATGCCATGAGCTTCTACATCACCATTTTTTTATTTCTCTGTGTAGGTAATCAGTGAGGGTAGACTGCAACAGCTCAATTTGTAAATGGTAAAGGCACAAGCCTCAGTAGACAGTTGATGAATACAAATTTGGGTACATTTTAATAGAATCCAATATTTCCCCCTTAAATCTTAGCTTCCCTTACACAGGCTTTTGGTATATAAACTTTTAAAAGTTTTCATCTCCATCCATGTCTCCCAAAGAATTCAAGGGCTGCTCTGTAATCGGGCCAAGGGAGCCTAGCTACGCAGTTTGCCTCCTGTGCCTCTCTCACCAATATCATCCAACAGAATCAATGATTGAGGTTCTCCACTCGTTCACACAGGTAGAAAAGAAATCATCTCGTCATCACCCCTAGCCCTCACACAAAGTTGAGCGAGAGATGTTTGCGTGGATGTTCCAGTCGAAAAAGCTCGAGGATACATGTTAGATCATCCCAAAATACCGAGATAAGAGCTAAATTCTTAAACAAAGATACCATTCTGAAGCATCTTTAGGGCATATCCATGTGGGCGAAGAAGGTCTGTGTAAACTCAAGGTCGCCTCTCACTTTCTAGCCTTCTCTTGCCTATTTCTCTAATTCGGGCCGCATGTAGAATTAAATATCGTGCATGGGTCCGAGGAAAGCCTTGGTTGAGAGTAATCAGTGGAGATTCCTAGCCTAATTTCCTGTAACGTTGCAAGTATAGAGTGATTGATTAGCTCGTGTAGTGTGGAATCCCTCCTAGATAGTATTATAGGTTGTTAAGATAAAGAAGAGACAGAGCTATGATGGGTTTAATGCTGCTTATTTTATAGACGTGAGTATTCATTGTAATGCTCTCGCAACCTTTAATCTCGTCCGCTCGGGTGGAATGAATGTTTGACATTGAGAGAATGAGTTGGTTCGAGATGTGAGTGCGTGTGACTAGAGAGAGAGGGGTATATTTATTTTACTACTTGAGTCTATGACTATCTAGCACATTGGGCTCCTCTATGACACAGGCCACACCTTGTACAGTACTCCTTGCCTCTAATGTTTCTTGAAAGATCATTGATATATTGCCCGTGATGAATAACCATTTAGCTCAGTGTTTATCCGTGGAATTCGGCCACCTTTTCCACGGAACCTTCTACCTAAAAAAAAAAGAAAGAAAGAAAAAGGTAGCAATGGAAACTGCATTTGCGAGAAAAGGCTCAAAAAACATGCAGCCCCAGCCAGGGGAGACCTAGGCACCGAGACCACATGAGGTGCGCATATTCATCTACATCTCCCTTCTTTATAACAGTCGAGGCCGACTTGATCCAATCCGCCATCTCCGTATCGGGTGCTGTGTACGCTTCGTTAACTTATTGAATGGCTTGGACCATATCATCTGATCTGGTCGTAGTCAGCTTCATGATAGAGGCGATAGAGGGTTGTGTTAAAGGATGAATAAGATACAAACCGCGAAAATGATAGGGGATCCTCATCGGAGTGAGGACTTTGTTACTCAATCTCGGCTTTGCAGACTGTACAGTGAGAGCTGGAGGTTCGTAGGAGACACCACTGATAGGTGTTGAGAATAGTCCCCGATAATGTTAAGTTCAAAAACGTATGAAACCTTCATAATCTGTAGAAATTAATCAGAGGATAAAAAAAGGGCCCATAAGATGCACTATTGTAGTAGAGGGCAGCTACGTTTTCGGGCTATGATATCCATCAGTTTCTAGTTTTTTCAACTGTCTGTTTGTTATTTAACGTCCTTTGGAGCGCTGAGCCGAAGCTCGGACACGCAGCTCCTACTAAGATATATAGAGGAATGGACGCCAGTGCTTACTGCTCTGGTGGCTTAGTTTCTGCTACACCTAGAATCTTAATGCCAGACTCGACATATCGAAGATTAAGGTAGTATGTGGCAAAGTCCACACACCATAGAGCTACCATTGACTACACTTTTGAGGCCGGGGTTCCTGGGCTCTAGCTATATCTACGTCTTGCTTTACAAAGATTTTCTAGGACGCGCTGCCCAATCCAGGCAGGTTGTTTTTTTTTTCTTTTTTTCTTTTTTTTTCTTTTTGTATTCAGCTATTTAGCTATGACAATTTATCTAACATTAACACTAAGTAATCAAACTCCCCTAATCAATCTTTCCCATCTTTGTTGTTCCATATATCAGGCAGGTTGTTATTATTATTGGTCTCTGCAGGTGGGCTGCTTGGGACAAATTGCAGTGTAGGACTTTGAAAGGGCAAACTACCTTGTCACGCACAGGGCTCCTTCCCAGCACCCAATCTCAGCAACTTAAGAGTACCCTGATTACATGGGTCACAACAGATATAATATCACGTGACTATAAGATGGCACGCGACATCTTTTTTTGCATCGGATTTTAATTGCGTATGCAGCTATCTGGCTATGACACAATATCAAAGAAAAGTACAGAATAGATGATTCAACGTAGAGGAAGAGCACTCATGCCTCAGATTTCATTTGCGAGTACCACTGCGAAGTTGTGGTGGCTTTTTCTTCACCCCAAGTCAACCCTCATCCGTGAATACCCACTCAGGGGAACGTCTCAAATACCCTGAGTTATCCAGACATGCCTCTATCATCTTTCAACTTTTCTCCGCGCGAGGCACGCGACATCATGCGGGTGATTGGGTGGGCTCCGCATGCGGAGGTATGGCCAGTGCGTTTATTTTCTGGTATGTATGTTTTTACAGGATCCGCTTGCATGGCGCTGATCAGTGGTCTGCAACCAGAGCTAGTCCAAAAATTAGTGTCCTGCGCCGGTGGGCCCACCAAGTACCGACCTGACGGGCGGATGGAACGAAAGTCAAAAGAGGATGAACCAATTCTAATGTGGAGTGACGGCCGGTTGGTCGCGATGTGCGTCTGTTCTTCATATCTAGGTATGCCATGAAACAGCGGGAGCCCCGCTCGTCAATCAAAACCTCTCTGACTAATTGCTCGGCGAGAACGCAGGAGAGGGCATGGAAGAACCTTTAGCATGATAAACGCCAGCGCTGCACCCTCGGGCGTCATCCTCGCCCTCATCCGCTTCCCCAGTACTGATGACCCCGCATCTATCCAGGCCCTTCCCGCCGACCTGATCGACTTGAGGACTTTCGCTTCACCGCGAAACTAGAGAGAGTTTCCGCAGGCACGTTAGATCCATGAGACTATGGCTCATCCAACTGATAGCACCTTATGGTGTTTAGTCCTCTCTCTGTATCCCCAGAATATTATGATTGGTATGTGATTTGGTAATGTACACTTGCGCCGGAACAGCTAAGATAGTTTGTGGATAGATATCTTCATTAATGTGCAGAAGTGAAGTTACTATGATAATTACAATGTTACAGATTGGGGGAAGCTCGTCCCTTATCCCCTAGCTTGTTCGCTTGTAGACTGATCACGTTACCAGTATGCAGCGCACCAAAATGTGCTCCCAACTGAGCAATTGAGCAACTATGCCATTTGTCCTATATCAATAACCCATCTCTCATGCTGTACACAGCACTACTTGAAACGCTGTTTTGTAGAGACTGGGTATTCTTTGTGCGCCATAATACCATACTGCCATAGTAACTACCTAAGCGCCAGCCACTAGATCTACCATGCTACCCTATTGTCACGGCGTCAAATTTGCAGTGGGGCTTAGGCAGGGGTTAAGCCGGTAAAACTAAGACTACTTAGGCATAGACACCTTCCACGTTATGTTTAGTCCCCGTATTTGTGCAAATTGTTGAAAATATTTGAATGGCAGTTATTTTCGGGACGCCATAGTTTGCAGGGGGTCTTTTTTTCGTACTAACCCCAATCAGTATAATGATCGGCTGCACAACATTTGTGCATTTTTGACACTTGACTTACAACTTATTTTCAAGACTTCAAAGGTTTTCAAATTACAAAATAGAGCCAGTCTTATCCTAACCTTAGATCTGAACATGTGGCTGTAATATTTTCAGGCCTTAATATCTGGTCAGTCCCCCATCCGCATCTACCACAGCCTGACATCTTGCTGGCATACTCTCAATGAGTTACACAAGGTCTTCGGGAGGAACCAGGTGTAGTCAGGGTGCGATGGTGTCCAGGACATGTCGGCATACCGGGCAATGAAGCTGCTGACGCACTTGCTAAACAAGCATGCGCAACCCCTTCGCTCCCCTATCTCCAGCAATCTCACGAGCAAAGAGAGACATGATCTCTCGATACAATGCCTCTGCATCCCTGTACTGGTCCCAAAACGCTCCTGAACGATACCAAAAACTGGGAATTAACGCCAAAATTGGGAGCTCCCACAAACTCAAGAGCCTTAACCGCTATGCTCTTGGTCGCCTTCTTGCAGCTCGCTCAGGCCATGAAGACTTTGCTGACTAACACCGCCGCTTCCAGCACTCGGACGCTCTTTTAATCTGTGTTTGCGGGCTAGAAAAGTCTCCCGAGCACTCCCTCTTTTGTAGACTCAATCGGAGTCGGTCCCGCCTTTACAGCGGAAATAAACACCCAACGACGGGAATTCGCTGGATTCTAGGCTCACCTGAAGGAGCCATAGCTTTTAGTGAATAGCTTCATAAAACGTGCTTTTTTGAAGCATGGAACAACAAGACTAACTAGTACCCCGAATTATATGTACTTGACCTGTATTTGCTAGAGCTAAATTTAGAAGACTTCTGGTCTAGGTGATGAATAACTTTCCTTTTCATATATATAACCATCAGCTCTACTGTATTAGAATACAAAAGTCTCAGCTCGAGCGTACTTTTGACTTCTTTAGATAGTTCGGGGTGCATGACAGGCAAGCCTTGACCCATTTATGACATGCCGGGCTTATTTAAAGGTATCGGCACGTCGGGTAGTTTATGTAGACTGAGCTGGCCAACACGATACCTTGAGGTTGTTTTGTCTTGTTTATTTTGTCCTAAGCTAAAGGTATGTTTTCCACATTGGGTCAAGGACAGGTGGAGCCGGCAGGGTTCTCTATAATCTTTCCTACAGCCTAACTCGTTCTAACCTCGTGAATCGCAACCATAAGTGCAGCCGATTAAACTGAAACGAAAAATCAAGAAAATCAAAACTACTCCGAAACCTGTTGCCTCAGCCATTGCGACATCCTTCGCCGCGGCGACGATCGCCTCTTCGGCCTTTTTGGCTGCAGCCCTAGCTTGAGCCGCCTCCGCGAACTTCCCTTGCTCGAGGTGGCGTATCCATGCGAGCTGCTCTTTTGTCACCGGCCCAGACTTTCTGGGTCTGACTTTGCAGTCCCGAGAATCCGATCGGTGGGGTCCCCCACAGTTGCGACACTTTGTGAGGGCGTTGCACTCGGCTTCCAAGTGCATGTTGGAGCCGCAGTTCCAGCAGGCTGAACCGCGGGAGCAACCACAGGTAGCGTGGAAGTCCAAACAGCGTTAACACTGTTCAATTTGGCGACGAGGCTTGTGAGTGGTTGCCATACCAGTCTCGTCGAAGAGGCGGAAGCCCGCACGAGGGGCGACTTCCCGGTCGAAAAGGGCATGCTAGTTTCGGTGCGGTGCCCCAGGTCGACATGTCCCATGAGGTCGGACCTGGATCGGTCTCACGCCGGTCGTAAGGATGATCTTAGCAAAGACCAACTCAGCATCGATCGCCCTGGGGTCGCTCTCTGTAATTATACTTACAGGTACGTTCGGTATCTGTAAGGCTACAAGATCTGAAGATGCCTCGAGTTTGGCGTTTTCACTCGCCAGCTTCGAAGAGCCATCTAGCATTTCTTGTCGTGTTTTTTCGTTCTTTGCTAGCATAGCAAAGCCGGTCCTCACTCGATGAAGTGAGGTTATTTTATCGTGAAGGAAAAGGAATCTCATCTCCAATTTGCTTCTCACGCAACTTGTGGGCAGTTTTCGCCACGGGTGGTCCTTTTCGAGACGAAGGAACAGTCGCTTGTCGATTTCCGCCTTTGGGTTTCTTTTTAATGGGCTTTGGCCGCAGGTCGCAGCGCAGCCTTCACAGTTGGGCCTGCTTTTTGTTGCAGTCCGTGTCTGGCCACCGTGGCCCAGGTGCTTTTGACAGGCAGAGCTGTGACAGTGGGTATTGTTTGTCTCCTGGCTTCGGGAGCCCTTGAGGTTGGGTTCGCCGGGCGAGGAGGGAGGACGGGTGGCGTAGTGGCCGGGCCCGTGGCCATGTATTGCGCAATGGCGGCGCGTAGGTAGACTCTCATGGAGTCTACGAATTGTCTATTTGACCCGTTGGTCAAAGGGAGGAGGGTGGCTTCGACGCCAGAGATGGCGGCGGAGCAGAGGGCCAGATTTGCCGCTATTTCGGCGGCGCGTCGTTGTTCAGCTTCGACTATTGGTCGGAGCTCGAGGGGATACTCTGCTTTCGTGGCAGCTTTTGGCTGCGACGTTGATGTTGACGCTGCTATGGGTGCAGCGTTTTCCCACGGTTTTGACACGGTCGGAGGTGGTTTGGATGATTTTCCAATCCCGTGGGGGACGGAGGGTGGTTGAGGAATTTCCCCAACAATTTCGACTGACCCGATCATATCAGTATCGGGTTTTGTGACGGCGGGGAGGGCTTTTTCCTTCCCTTTGATTAAGACCTTGCTCATCTTCACGCATTTCGGAGACTGGGCAAGACCAGGTAATTGCTCGAGAGCCCTCGGGTGGACTCTCGTGTTGTCCAATTTGGCGTTAGGACGCTTTTTTCGAACAGGTGGCATGGTGAAAATCCCAGTGACTCGATGATAATTTTTTGATAGAATGCGAGGAGCGCGAAAGGGGGAAAGGGTGAAGATTCAAAAATTCGAATTTCAAAAAATTGGTCGTGTTGTGAGCTAGCACGACGTTAAATAATAATAAAAAAGTTTTTCGGGAGACACGGAATTTGATGCCTCCTCTACGATCTTGCAAAGACTATCTGGAGTATGCT